ACGTTTTGTTACAAATTAAAGTAAGGAAAAATAATCAATAAAAATTTGTGTAGGTACATTGGTAACAATTATAGTATGGAGGTAGGCAGACATTGGAGCGCAGCGCGGCTAATAATGGTGAAATAGTATATAAACGACCCCTCGCGCAACAATACTTCATTTTTAAGTGATTTTCAAATATTTTTAAGTTTGTGCTAAATAACCCAAAAATCGGGTGAGTGTTCTAATTTCTTTAGTTTTACTGCTCGCTTACAAGTCCAATAAGTAACTTTGAATTCTCAAACTATTTCGTTGCTTTATAATATTATATTTAACGTTTTCATTGGACATTTTTTCTGAAGTGAAAATCTAGTTCTTAACCTAATGTTCAATAAATATATTATAAAATATATTTAAGTATAGATTCTATACGTTCATATGCGAGTATTTTAGACTTAAACTAATAACATTAATGACTACACAGTACAGGAGCACAGGGCCACAAATAGGACCAGAGCCCTTTTGCTATTCTAAAAATCACCTGCAAAGGGATTCAAAAAAATACTGGAGAAAACAACCAGGATTAAATCACGCCAAGTCCCTAATTGAAAGTCATTCACAAAAACTTGCTGAAGAGCTCTTGAAGCTAAACAGAGCAAATATAAGTTCAATTGTACGAACCTTATCTGGACACTGCAAATTAAACAGACACCTGTTTAACATAAAGCTTAGTGACACTGACATTTGCAGATATTGCAAACAGGAACATGAAACACCAAAACATCTCCTGTGTGAATGTGGACCACTGATCCACAAACGGAGCAAAGATCTGGGACGACATATAATCAGCCCAGAAGATATAAAATCTCTAAAAGCCAGGAAAATTATAGACTTTTTGAAGTCTTACCGGGCTACAGGAGTTACTATAGATTTGGTGGCGAGTCACAATAGATCTTCAAGATTGGAAATCAGACTATTTTAAATGGAACACTTAGTGCTTTAATTTTACTTGAACTACGGGTTCGATTCCCGTGTATTTTGATATAATAGTATTTTTATTTTTTTTTAACTTACATATTATTATCATAGCATCTTTTATTTCAACTTCATTCTAAATGATTTATAATATCATTTAAAAGACACATTTTTATATTTACTTATCGGGTAGATTTTATAGAAGCTATGGCAACTGCAGCTATTTTAATTGTTCCAGGCCACAGGTAGCCGGACTTATTGAACTTCCATCGCAGCCTGACTCATCTACGCTACTCGACATCCTACGTATCGAGTCTTCGTTCACCAGTGCTGCTGACCGGAACTGACGTCGGGTCTACCCTTGCCAGCCGCTGCCCGGCCCGTGACACCCTGACACCTTGAACTCGACACTAAATCCCCTATTCTACTTTAAAGATAAGTAGTCTTTTTACAAGATACAAGAACCATACGAGCGAATCTGTACCTACCCCCTGAGAAATAAAATAAAGATTGTAAAACGTTATTTTGTTTTGGTCTTTTTACCAGAAGCCTGTGGGGTGCTTCTCACCCCCCATCAACAAACCAACGCTTCAAGTGCTCACTTGATAGTCTAAAAGTCAAAACCAAGGGACTGGCTTTGGATAAATTGTATACCATTAAACCAGTAACTCGAATAATCAGCTTTCGCAACCACACACTCGGAGTTAGTAATTTCATCTTGTTTTATGATTATATCGGCCAACTGCCCGGAGGTCTTAAATACACTTCGTCGTGAACGTCAGAAACTCGATTTTAATTATCTCTTTTTTTATTTTAATAATCAACAATTTATTAGTGCATTATTTCACTAGGCAGGCTTGAGTCTCTTAATAATTATTTAGATTACAATTTACTGAGCGCAAAAACTTACTCCAATCACAAAATATAAGCTTTAATCATTTTGATACTAAACAAAACGATTGCATACAAAAAAAAATACCTATGCACTATATAACTGAAAATTACTTGGAGATAACTAGCAAATAATAGCAATTTGTAGCAAGTATTAATTACCCAAATATTGTTAAATTCAATAGGAGACAGTATCAAATTTCTTCAGTGCGGGAACGACGGTATTAGTTAGAAGTTGTTTAAATTTTAAATCACGTGAATCTTAGTAAGGGCGATTCAGGTAGCTTTGTTTTATCACTTGACAACTTTATTTTATCAGATATACACCGATACAAAGGTATTGTGTTCGAATATTAGCTGGATCAACAGAGGAAAAAATTAACTTTTCTATTTGTTTCACGTCAGGATAGTCGTTTAATTTTATATGTAAACTTTAATGATTCCGATATCCATAACCCAAGATCTTAAGATATTGTTTACTTTGTGTCGAGATCCGTAACGTTGTTGTCTAATATGATATAAAGTTTTCAAAATAATCTAAAACACTAGCAAATAAAAAGTTTGCTAACTCGTTTCTTAAATAAACGGCAAAATAAAATCCATTTTATTTGAATTTATTCGTCGTCGAATTTAAAGACTTGAACCGGATACTAAGCAGCTGACACAGTTTATATTTTTCTCTTACATTGTAGCAAAACTATTTCTCTATTCTGTTGTAATAAAAGAAATTTATTTTCTGGATTAAAAATATATATTTCACCGTAAAAGACTGTTCTCCTCTTTAGTTCCGTTTCCAGTAATATTGGAATTGTTGTTACAGACTTATTACCGTTCGTAAGCAATATTTTATGGGACGAAGGAAAACAATTTATAAAATTTAGTAAGTATACTTAGTTTAAGTACGTGAGTATGTATTATATTAAAGTATTCTAATACAATATATGAGGTGTAATTTAATAATAATTTTATCAGAAGATTACGCTCTAAGATCGAGAAAATAGTTCACAACAAGTTGTGGTAATCATAGAATAACCATATCTATAGCGAAATCTGGCTAAAATGTTGCGGCAATGAAGAAAAGTCTCGACGCGTTCTGACCTTAGCTGTTTTATTTTACAATATCGATTCACTTCTGGCACTTTAGTATGAAAAACAACGCAAGGGCCGAGCAAGCAATTCGTAACATCCCTGTCCTTACCACTGGATCACTGAATATATTGATGCTTATATTTTTTTCTCCTAGAAACAATATGAAAACAAGTGTTGTTTTATAATTTCTAATCAATCCATCTATCTAAAAGATAGATCTAATCATAAGAATTCGCAAGGAAATTAAAATGTTTATGTAAATGATCCATCTTGATTTTACACGAGTAAATATTGTAATTACCATACATCTTCTATAAATTATCGTCATATTTCAAATGGTTCAGTTTGGTGGCTTAGTAGATAAAAGCCACGGTCCACGATTGTTAACTTTCGCAAGGGACGGTCACGGGATGGGTGGCCCAAAAAATATTATCTCGAGCTACTCCGTGCTTCGGAACGCACGTTAAGCCGTTGGTCCCGGCTACATTTGCAGTTGTAAAATACTCTCCAATCCGCATTGGGCCAGCGTGGAGGGTTATGGCCCATCCTCCTTAACTATCCATAAGGAAGGCTTGGGCCCCTGCAGTGGGAACGTAACTGGGCTGATAATGATAATGATAATGATAACGATAACGATGACGATGACGATGACGATGACGATGACGATGACGATGACGATGACGATGACGATGACGATGACGATGACGATGACGATGACGATGACGATGACGATGACGATGACGATGACGATGACGATGACGATGACGATGACGATGACGATGACGATGACGATGACGATGACGATGACGATGACGATGACGATGACGATGACGATGACGATGACGATGACGATGACGATGACGATGACGATGACGATGACGATGACGATGACGATAATGATGATAGTTCAGACAATTTATAAAACCTTCAGAAATTACTACATTAATTGGCAGTGCCGTAATTTGAGTTCAATGTTCCGAGCCTTTTAAAAGCAATGTTTCCAGTTACATGTAAAAAAATCGAGCAGTAATTTAGGGGTGGGTTGTGAACGCTTTTTTGATCAACGAAACGAGACTGTTAATCGTTCACCGTAAATTAGTCTAAGAAACTGTTTTTTTCGACTTGTTTATGTCATAGACGGACTGAGCGAAATAAGAAATTGTGTTGAAGTATGTAACTAATTTATTTTATGCAATGGTTTTCAGAAAAAATTGTTAGGACAACTTTGTTGTCGTTGTCCCGACAACAGCTCAGTAAATTTATGGACGGTGAAAATTTCTTCACTTCATAAATTTTGATTCTTATTTTAGTTAAAGTTCATAATTGTTTATTTACAAAAAACTTATCTAAAAATTGAGATAGTTATTTGCCTTAATTAAGCAAATTATTGAAACTGTGCTTCTAGTATAATTTAACCTTGACCTATTCCATCCGCATTAGCATCAAAAACTGATTTGTCAGTTTAATTACAAAGTTCAAACATGTATTTATTCCAGAAAAGTAATGTACTAGCAACTCACTTCAGGTTCGCCACTCGGCCGTCGGGTAGCTTACATGTATCTCAGAGAATATAATAATTTAAAATATAACAAATAAGTATTTCACCTGTATTTAACCAAAATTCGGACTGTGCAGTTGCAAAAATAAAGTGTTGGTGTTATTGAGGTGTTATTCGTGTGTTTACATATTCAATTCTCTAAATTAAAGGATTTGTATGCAGTCAGTGGTTACAAACTACCCTTAACATTGCATATATTACAAAATAAACAAGACATATAATATATAATAAGTGTTTGATGACTATTGAGGTCCCGGTGAGCGAACTATTCCTGTTTATGTTTGTATGGATTCTACGTTGTTGGATACACAAAAATAAAATTAATTGTAAATTATTTACGGAAAGCACTGCCCTCTATCAATTGTTGTGGGAACTTGTTACTTATCAGTTGCGTTAATCGCCTGTCGATACGTGTAGTTGCTATTACGTGCGCATCAACTTCGCACCTACTAAACCCAACGTCAGACAGATTTGCATAGGTGGCGCTCTGTACTTTGGAATCTGCAAAATGGTGAAATGTGGAGCATGTGGCAAATTTCTATCTGCGGCAGAAACTGTGCGCTGCATCAAGTGTAGCGGCTCTTTTCACAAAGCTTGTGTGGCCATTCCGGAATCGGCTTCGGTTAAAGGCTGGATATGTCCAGGGTGCAAAATAAAGATACCCAGGGAAGACAATACTTCTACCCCCTTGAAGGGTATCTCCGCTACATACGGAGCTCCTGCTAGTCCGTCGCAACTGGACGATACAGCTCACAACGTCACAGAAGAGTTTAGGATGGATCTGGCAATGGAAATACGTGCATTCAGGAACGAGCTCAGTGCTTTGCGGGCGGAAGTGCGTGAATGTCGAACGGAGATTTTGGATTTAAAGGTCATACTGAATTCCTATGATGAGAAGATTTCATCTATGGAGACTAGGATAATGGCACTCGAAACAAAAAACAACAACCCCACCTCTGCCATGGAAACGTTAGAAGTCGCTGTTACTGAGCTTAAAGCGCAACTGAACACAAGAGACCAGGAGCTTTTATCCAGCGACATCAACATCACCGGTATACCCGAGCGAAGTGGCGAGAATATTATGTCCATAATAAGGGTTATGGCGGTTAAACTGGGCGTTGACCTTGACGACAGGGACGTTACCAGGGTGGAACGTGTGGGCTCTACGCGGCGTGACAGGGTTTCTGGAGGTGGTGAGTCATCGGCTTCGGGTGGCGATTTTGATGTGGCGGATCACCGGCCACGTACTGTGGCCGTGCGATTTGCTCGTCAGACTGTGCGCGAACAGTGGCTTCGAGCTGCCCGGGTGCGTCGGGTACTCACATCTGGCGATCTTGAGATCCCCGGTCCTACGCGTCGTATTTATGTGAACGAACGTCTCACTCGCCTCAATGCACGACTGTTTTACCTTGCACGCCAGGCGGGTCTCCGGTGTCAGTGGAAGTATGTGTGGACTAGAAATGGCAGAATTTTGGCACGTAAAACTGATGGTCAGAAAATTGTACAAATACGCAGCGAATGCGATGTGGCTAGGGTTTTTGTATGAGATCAGTTTGAGTTTGAATAATTTTGTATCCAATTATATTGAGCGTCATTGCTTGTTACACTCAACCTTATGTAAATCGTTTTTCTCGTTCAATTTTCAATTTATATTTTTTTTATGTGATTTCTTTATGTATGTGTGTCACACGACTGCATATATTATGCACCCCACCAAATTGAAGCTTCCGTCTAAATTAAGCAATACAAATATAATCTTCTTACTAAGTTATTATAATCTTCTAAATGTTTTAATAGACGTGTATACCTTGAATGAATATTGCATGTTGACGTGTATATATGCTAAGTTGTATTTTATATTGTATTTACTGGTATATTTATGGTATACTGACCGCTGTAAAGTACAAATATTTTATATTTTTCTGCTGCAAATAACTGTTGAATATCTAATTAAAACATCATATCACATGAATATGAGGCGAAAGTGTTGTATGTCTGGTGGTTTATTAATATTAAGCTATTTGTGCTCACACAGTTACAATGACTAACAAAAAAAGTATTTTAAAGTTGGGTTTCGTAAATGCTGGGTCACTGGGTACAAATCATGACGATTTTATTGAAATAATTGAACGTTATAACTTTGATATATTGGCTGTAAATGAAACCTGGTTAAGGCCTGGTGAGGAGGGGCGGGCGCCCACTGTGCCGGGTTACCAGCTGCGCCATACACCCAGACCGGCGTTTGTGTGCTTGGGACGGGGAGGCGGCGTTGGTTTCTACGTTAGGCGGGGGCTCAGCGTACATGCGTGCATGCACTCTGCTGATCCTCGTTTTAACACAGTTGAGCAAAAATGGCTCACTCTCTCTACCTGCGGTAAAAAAGTTGCAATTGGTACAGCATATCGTCCACAATGGTTGAACATAGACTTATTTTTAGATGCTTTAACCGATACCGTAACTTCGTTGGGTGACATAGACAATTGTGTCATTTTAGGTGACTTTAATATCAATATGTTGAGCCCAGATGACGTGAAAGTTAAAAAGTTGTCTGAATGTTTAACCAGCCTCGGTCTTTCTCAGTTGGTCTCAACACCTACCCACTTTACTGACACTAGTGAAACGTTAATAGACCTTATTTGTACGGATCTTAGTGCAAAAAACACATCTGTGGTGGGGTTTCAGGGTTTACGGGGTCATTCGTTGCTGGTTTGCGAGCTGAACATTAAGAGGGATAAATTGAAGCCATGCGTAGTGCGATCGAGATCTTTAAATGATATTGTTCTAGATAATCTACATAGGGACATGACTTTGATGGATTTGAATTACTGTAACAGTTCAGTGGGCGTAAATGACATGGTATATAGTTTCAATTTAAAAATCCTCTCTGTTTTTAACGTCCATGCTCCGGTTAGGACTATAAATATCAGGAAACCATCATACCCTTGGCTGACGGACAATGTAAGATTAATGATGCGATTGAGAGATGCTGCATTGGCGAAGTATCGCATCAATAGGACAGAATCGAGTAGGGAATACTATAAACAACTTAAGTCATTAGTGAACAGTTCGATATACCACGAAAAGGTAGCTTATTTCAGATATAATATCAATAGCAAGATAAGCGATCCAAAATTATTATGGAGAAACTTAAAGGAGACTGTTTTGACTTGTCAGCAAAATAAAGAACTGCCTTCATGTTTTGATGACCCAGATAAAATAAATTAACACTTCCTGAATATCCCTGGTAACACAATGGCAAATAATTCTTATAAAACATTTTTTAATAATAATCGTTATTGTGAGTCTTCATTCAATATCGCGCAAGTCAGTACGGACTTTGTCTTACGTTTTGTGCGTAAGCTTAGGTCAAACGCTGAAGGGTGCGATGGGATCTCTTTAAAAATGTTAAACTTAACGCTACCTTATACTCTAGATGTTATAACAAATATAATAAATAAGTCAATCGAATCATCTGTTTTTCCTGACGTCTGGAAAGTTGCTACTGTGTTACCTTTACCTAAAAGCTCCAACGCTACTGAGTTAAAAGATTAGCGGCCCATCAGTATTTTGCCTTGCATTTCTAAAATTCTGGAGAGGGTGGTGTGTTCACAATTGACTAACTTTTTGGAGGCAAACAACATCCTTCCCGAACGACAATCAGGCTTTAGGAAGGGTCGTAGTACTACATCGGCGTTGATAGACGTGACGGATAACATTTTGACTGATCAGGACAGGGGCATGTGTACATTGCTAGTCCTACTAGATTTTTCTCGTGCTTTCGATGCACTGAATACAGATTTGCTGATTGCGAAAATGAGGTACTATGGGTTCGGCCAGGGTGCACACCTCTGGTTTCACAGCTATCTGACGAATAGGAAACAATTCGTCAAATTATCAACAAATAATGGTAATTGCCTAACCTCATCTCTTCAGCCAGTAACGAGGGGTGTGCCTCAGGGCTCAATACTGGGACCGATTCTATTCGTTCTTTACTGTGCCGATATTGTAAAGTGCTTCAGTAGATGTAAATATCATATTTATGCAGACGACGTTCAGGTACATATTTCTTTTCCATTGAAGGATTACGGGAAAGCCGTGGAAGATCTCAATGGGGAATTGGAGAATGTGGCAGAGTGGTCTGAAAAAAATTGTCTAGTGCTTAACCCTTCTAAAACCAAATATATGGTGTTTGGGCCTGAAAAAAAGACTCGTTCGTTACCGAATGTTTTAGGGGTAAAGTTAAGAGGTGAATCTATTGAAAGAGTAACACATGCGCGTAATCTCGGTTTAGATATTGACGAAAAACTAAGGTATGAAAGGCATGTGGCAGAAGCCGTAAAAAATTGCTTGTACCGGTTAAAACTACTTTACAAAATAAGGCCTTTCATATCTGAAGAATTACGAATAAGATTGACAGAATCACTAGTTCTTTCCAAACTGAATTACTGTGATATCGTATATGGTCCTCGGCTGCTTGCTCGCACTGATAAACTCATACAAAGAGTACAAAACGCGTGTGCGCGATTTTGTTTTAATATACCCTATCGCAGTCACGTAACTCCTTTTTTAAATAAACACCGTATGTTAAAGATGAAAACTAGACGTAAGTTCCACCTTGCGTCTTTGCTTTTCAACGTAATTAAGTCACAAGAGCCTATGTATATATATCAAAACCTCAGTTGGGTAGGTAGTTGGAGAAGGGGTGCTGGAAGGCAATGTTCTCAGCAACTTGCTACTCAGCCTCATAGATCCGCATCCTTTCGTGGTAGCTTCCGCTACGCAGCCTCTAAGATATGGAACAATATTCCTCCGCCAATAAGAAATAGCGATTCCACGTATACTTTTAAAAAAAAATTACGCCTTTATCTTTTCGATGCACAACGGGGGCTTAGCAATATAAATTTAAATATATCGCTCATATAAAAGTGGTAAACACCATCAAAGCTAAATCAATATAAATAATGTGCAAGTGAGTTACTTGAGTGTCCTGATGATCGCGGATCCAAAATATCGTGCAACTGCTCGGCACAGTCAATTCCGACAGACAACATCTGAGGCCTGAGGATGGAAAATATTTTATTTAAGTGTATCTGTTTATCTATCCCTTTGAAATTAATTTCTTATATATAGTGTAAAATCTAGTTATTTTTTATTTATTTTTTTTATAAATAGTTTTAATCAGTAATTGTTATTTTATTATAATCAGATTTGATTGGCCAGACTTGTAACATTGATAACTAGTTAGGTGCATTTTCATTATAAGTACATATTTAATTACTTTACCTATTGAGTATGGCCCGTGTATACGTATGTCCGGAATGACGTCATAGCCGCTGAGTGGTCGGTATCTGTATGAGCTTGCAGCTGTCCTGGTGCCGTCACCTATCCGACTCACAGTGTTGAGACCTGAGGAAAGTGGCATTTCGTTTTTTACAGAGTAATATTTAATATTGCTCAACTTCGGTATTTTACTCGTTTTATGATACAATGGAACAATATTGATTGAATGCAACATTTGTCTATTATTTGTTTTTATTATTATCTATTCAATAGTTATTGTATAAAATTTTTATGTAAATCAGGGTCTAAATAGTGAAGTGAATTGTTTAACACTTCATTCATTGTTTCCACATAATTTACAATCAAGTCTATGCACCTTGTTACATATAAGTATTGAAAGTGACTTACCAATCAAATGTGGCCTGGGTATGAGGCGTGAGTTCTGAAGTCCAGAGTGACGTCGTCATGGCACCGCAATATTCAGCCTCAAAGCAGAGACCTAAAAGAACAGGCATTTTCATTAATACTGTTACATTTTAAACCTCTTATTTACTTATTATCTTTTATTTCTTGAATTCTTAATATGTATTTTAATTTTAATTATATAATATTTGATTAATTCTATTTGATGTTATTATTAAATTTATTTCAGTAATTCATGCAATTCAAGTTTCATGATTATATTGATAGTAGTACTCACTATTTTCTTTTTCAATTAATTTATTATAAAATAAATATAATAACATTTTAATTCTATATAATTATGTTGTTATTAGTAATTATTACTCATTTTGAAGTTTTAACAATTTTTGATTACTTAGATAAATATCTACCTGTTGAGTGGCGTGTGCCCGCCCGAAGTGTCGTGACGGCAGGGCTGCTTAGGTTACGTTGGCTTCACCTATCGTTTTTCTGTCTGTAGTAGATTAATAAGGCATAAATACTGTGAGTATTGTAAGGGAATGATGGAGAAATAGCTTGTTTAGTACATACCTGTTATTGCTTCAACTTTTTCCATGTTTCAATGTACACTACTCCGTTGTTAAGTAATAATCCTATAGACTTGTTAAATGGTTCATTCGGTAAATTTTGTTGAAAGCCTGCATGCGTCCGTCGCTGCACACAGCACACAGCTCATTGTTGGCTGGCTGTAGCGCATACGCTGCGGTGTCTATGTGTGCGTCGCGTCGGCCGTCGCTCGATGCGACATCGACATTGTGGCGCCATCTTTGGTGGTGTGATACCTATTACCTTAAGTTTTATCTA